GAATTGAACCCTAAGCCAGCCCGATCAAGGCCGTAGAAGGGATGTAGTCGATCAGTGAGACCTTTATTGAGAATTTCTTTGTATCGAGTGGCGTAAAAAAACACGTCTTGTTTGATGCCTTATGAAACACCCAGTGGAAAGTGTAAGTTCACGATATTATTGTGTTACAGTGGAAGCACTACAACACTACAACATAATGCAATAAATTTACAGGTTGTTAGAGAGTTTCATAATTCCGATTAATTAATATTTTCTCAATTGGCTGCGAGAGGACGGGGTTAAATGTGATCACTGATAGGAATCTTATGTCAGGGGAAAATACATCTAATTTTGACCCTTCGAACAGATGCAAATGGAAGGATAGCTTTGTTACCAAACAAAAAAAGAAATAGGGTCTGCATCATTATCAGAGAAGTCCCCAAGTCGAAGTCTGTTCCCTTCATTTAAACGGTATTTCTTTTCCATTTTTTTCGACGGAGAGAGCGAGTATTTGATCATGGCGAAAAATTATTTCTGCAAAGAAATGCTATTTAATTTGGTCTAAAATGTGATTGCCGCTTCATCATGGCCCTAGCATTATTATATTATGATTACTTTTTCCCTGTTCAAAATCATGCCCCCCCCTAACGGGGTATCGGCATAGGTGTAACTACTGAAATGGCCTGTGTAAGAGAAACGCATTCAGCTATAAAGTAGTGGTCTACATATCTGATGTAATCGAAGGAGGATTTCATCAGCGCGCACTTTTATATTCGCAAGTTGAATGTGTAATCAATAAGTATGAATGAAGAAATCAGTCCTGGAAGCCCTGCCTTGCATTTCCAGGTATGTTCCATTGCTGCACTGAGAGATATGACAAAGGTAATAATCTCTGTTTCACGTCTAGTGCTTAATTTGGCGCACTCACTTCAAAATTCCCGGACTGTTCAGAAATACGGAATAAATACCCCCTTTTTCTATGGGGAAATATATGAGGCAAGTGCGATCGACTTAAAAAAAATTGTTGCCATAATGGCAAATTCGGTTTTGGCGCCAAAATTCTGATAACTGCTCATTTCGGAAAAAAGCACTAAGCCTCATTACTATTTCTTTGATCACGCTTTCTCTCTCCTAGATCACGCTTAACCCTAAAACATGGTGAGTATGATTATTTAAAAATTTTCCAAAGTGAAAATGCTAGCTATGATAACACTGCATCTTTGCAGGTTTAAAATACTCATGACTGTCTCGGCTGAATTGCAATACCCAAGCATTATTAGCCTTGTGATCACACTTACCACGTTTTCGGGGTAGGTGTCATCAACTCGACCTTTCCAACGCAAATGCGGTTCACGCCTACAGTCTTTCCAGTGAGTGGATGAAAATGCATGATTTGAAGCTAACAATCTAACGTTGACGTGCGAAAAAGTACTTCATTATATATGCAATAGATAAGTTTCGCCATTCATTCAAAAATGAAACTTTTAATTTTTATTATCACACTTACCCTGAATGACCTTAGAAAGACACTACAAAATCAGTTCGAGGCAATGATTAATTCTGAAAATTTTTGCGTAGGCTTATACTGCAGATTGTCCGAACTTGGAGAAAAATTCTCAGCATTAGAGAAGGCATATGAAGGCCGCATCCGGGATTTTTAGAGTGACCCTCGTTGTCACATTTGCGAGAACAATGTGATAGCTCTAAAAAGTTTTGTCAAAAAAAATAAAAATAGATGAGAAGTTACAACCACTGGTCCCTCACAACTCCATTGTGAGTTTCGTGTGGAACGAGCGAGGCGTTTCTCAGGACTGACAGTGGGGGAATCTCGGGTAGTGGTTGCATGAATTTGTCGATACTGGCGTCTCATTACGAAGGGGGTGGGTGGGGGACGAAAAACAGATTTCAGTTGCATGCAGAAAGCCAAAGGGCCAAATTCCTTTTTCTTCCACATGAAAATGTGGAAGAAAAAGGAATTTGTGAGAAAGAGATGCTATTAAACCATGTGTAATTTTAAGACATGAAGCGATCGTAAAAATTTCCTGGTCAGGTGTGAGAGTTGCATCGATTTATTCCAGATCACACATCTTTAGTATTCAGGCACCAGTCGGAGGAAAGGTAGAAGCTACTCCATGCATTGGAGATTTACTCCATGCACATATGTTATAACCTGAAGCCTTTATGGAAACTGTGCAGAGTATAGGATTCTCACCAGTATATAACACTTGATGCCTTCGTAAAGTTTCTCATAAAGTGGTTTTTAAGACAGAATTCCTAAGACTGGGGACTGTCCTTTATCATTCTACTTGAACTACTGTTCCTGTTGAGGTATGTCACCTTCTCGTTTCCGATTTTGAGAATCATTCGAACATACCGACTGGTACAAACACCAAACAGATCCCGCTGTTCTTGGGTACTCGGCGTGAAGTTCCGAGTGAGATTGCATTTTGAGGCATTCGAGGCTTTCCAGGGCGACAGGGAAAATGTGGCACGTGGATGGGCGGATGTTCGGGTTCCGCCTTGTCTGGTCCCAAATGTCCTCTATGGTTACAATGGAGAAAAGCTGCTCACTTTCAGACATTTTTCATTGTTCTTTTTAAACCGTTGGAGTCTGAAATGCCAGGCTTCTTCCATTTCAGTATGATATTGTTCGATGTGTACCTCTTCTCGGACCTACTGTTGTCACGTGGTGCTTTAAGTTTTGGGTGTCTCAAAGGAAACATGTTCCTCAACATCAATGCATGAGGTGTTTATAAAAAATAAAAAGGGAATTCGAAGACAGAATCTTTCAGATCAAATCTTCCTGCTCCGCCATACTTCATCTTATTTGCGCCAAAACTCTCGAATTAAATATAATTAACATGCAAGAATCAAACGAGGTCAAGGTTATTATTCAATTAATTAAATTAACCTTAATTATGTTGGAAAATTACACCTCATTGTAAGCCTCAAGTTACAAGATTACCTAAAATGTAATTTAGTAAATGAAAAAGTTTTCAAGTAATCGAGTCTTGTTATTTGAGAACCTAGTCTCTAGTACCTGACTTATACGCATAGATTTTGCTTACAGTGTCGTATTAAGGTAACGCCATATAGTAATTCCCAATAATAAAACTCATTTTCTAGTAGGGATTGAAATTATAATGCTGACAGACAATTAGTTTTTTCGTCATTCAAGATATAATCTCATGGCCATCAAGTCGCTTCCTCATATCCTATGAAATTATTTGAAAATTTTTTCATATCCTATGAAAAATTTGCGCCATAGAGTCCCATTATAACTGCCCGGTTACTTTCACTAAAGTCAGGTGGTGAACGTGTAACAAGCAATCGACGATTTGGCCTTCTAAATGAGACCCGACCCCCTCTTGTTCCCTATTAGCCGGTCCCAGGATGGTTGTGGCAAGAGCCTCCACGGATGTAAAGAGCAGAGGATGAGCATTCCCCAAGACCTCATCGATGAAATGGCGAAGATGCAGGAAGTAACTTTCCTGGAGAGGAGATTATGTATGTAGGAGGAGGATGGTCGTGTGCAGGGAAGAAACGAAGCCAAGGGAAGCTCGGAGATAGAGTACTTGTTCAGAGGAGTAATTGCATACTCATAAATTGTTCTTGTATACGGAACTGAGCTAATTATGGACTTATCACCTGATACCTAGCATGGTAGCTACCATGATGTAATTGGCTATAAAATAATAGGTTTTTGCATTCGGGTCAATATTTTGAAACAATATGACCACGCCGATGTCTGGAGGCGATGAATGCAGAACTCGGAAAGTAAAGGGAAATGTAAAAAAAAGGGGGGGGGCAGTTCGTTCCCTCGATCAGATAAAAGACCAGGTGAAAGAAAAGGGATTTCTAAGAAATGCTTTCTCTCGGAGTTAGCCCTGAGGGGAAAGAAGCATAAATTGGGATTTTGGAATCTATACTGCCGTTTTTGAGATACTGAGATCAAGTTCCAGGATATACTTGGTGCGGTAATTATGAGAACCATTATTAAAAGCAGATCAATGAGTGGATGAGAATGATATAAGGTTCATATGTATGGGACTACGCGTTTTGGAAGCCGAGAGCGTTTTCTTTCAGCTAGCCTAAATACTGCGCCCCCTTAATTGCGCGCTTCGCCTCACCAGAACGGTAATTCTTCTTTTACGTAGCGTGTTCATGACTTCACGATACCCATAAAAGAACAGTGGAGTTATAGTGAGATTAGATAATGGATTGGCCATGCCGTTGTCCCCACGTGACGTAATGGATCGCGGGGGAGCTTCCGATACCCTGGTGATTGGTTTCCTCGCCAGTCAACTATTTCTTGGAAGGAAAAACTGCAGTGAACGATTCGGAACAAAAATCGGATGGGTTAATGAAGGAATGTAAGACTCTACTCTCGCTCAAATGGGATGAAAATGTACAAAACTTCAAGCCAACTCCTTCGATGCAGTCAATTGAAATGGAAAGAATTGAAGTTGCCGTTGTCATGGAATCCTCCTCTCGACGATTGACTGGTGGAAGGAATTCTTCCCTCAGCACGGGTCACAAAGGAACGACTCATCAACCGAGTGCATCAAGATGTATCATCGTGACTCAATCTTCGATAAGTCCATCCGATCGGAGGGTCCATGTCATGCAAATCGTGTTTCCTGGGGATGGTCCTAATATCTTATCTAATTGCTGCGCCGTATCCGTGAACCATTAATCCCAGATATCGTCATCAAATTCCGAACCATACTCGTAAAACGAACCATGTTCTTTTCATCGCGCTAGGAGGGGCTGCTTAGAAAGCGAGGTTTCGGGAGCTGAGTGCGCACTGCCCGCTAGCAAATTTGTCGTCCGACCGTTGTTCTTTCCGTCAGAGTTTACCACAGTTGAAGACAGGTTGGTTTTCGTTTTCTCCGAGATAAGAAAGAAACACCCCCTATCATACATTCAGTGGAGAGTGGAAGGTAGTGGATGTGGAGGATACGAAGTGGTAATGCGAGGGCCGGTGGCATAGAAAAGGATCTTTCCATTCAGTCCTGATGTGCGATGAGGAATGATCCCGTGTGGATGTGATTTCTCCCTCCGCAGGACCTGCCTCGCCTGTCGCTCTGTCACTGGGTTTGTATCGTACATCCTTACCGAACGATACGATCGGTTCTGCTTTTGGTCTGACTCGAAGTCCCAACATCGAACTGGTGCGTACTCGAGTTCTCCATTTCGTTTTCATGGGACTTTTGTCCACTGGCGATTGCGAGGCAAGTAGATTCGCAGACGCTTACAACCTTGTTGCTAACCAAAATGATCATGCATATAGTGCCTTTTGAACAAATTACTCATTTGGGATTGGACCTATCCGGATACTACCGAAGTCAATTTGTAGATAAGGAGGCTGTCCATTCAATGAGAGGGTTGTCATCCTCAAAATAACTTTCGAATTGCTAATGACCAACTGCATCAGTTCGTGAGGACCAACTGTAAAGTGGATTGATGGCGACTTGGTTTACTTGAAATGCAAACAAACTCACTACGGACGCGCTTTCGGCGCTCTATGCTCTGAGGCAATGTGTAATACATTTTAAGCATTCCCTTTTTATTCTCACTTCCATGGATGTGGTAAAACTCCTTGAGGCATGAACATAATTCATTGAGGCCTCAAGTTACTTTTGGTCATGAGAAATCAAATTTCCCACTATCCATAATTGCCCGCATCCATATAACTAAAAAATTTCTGTCTAAAAAAAGTGGTTTTTAAAACAGAATTCCGAAGACTGGGGACTGTCCTTCATCATTCTACTTGAACGACTGTTTCGGTTGGGGTATGTCACCTTCTCGTTTCTGATATTGAGAATCATTCGAATATAACGACTGGTACAAACACCGAACAGATCCCGCTGTTCTTGGATACTCAGCGAGGAATTCCAAGTAACATTTAGATTTGAGGCATTCCAGGTTTTCGAGGGCGAGAGGAAAAATGTTGTACTTAGATCGGCAGATGTTCGGGTTCTGTCTCGTTTGGTCCCGAAAGTCCTCTATGGTTACAATGGAGAAAAGCTGCTCACTTTCAGACATTTTTCAGCGTTAGAGTCTAAAATGCCAGGCTTCGACTATTTCATTATGATATTGTTCGATGTGTACCTCTTCTCGGACCTACTGATGTCATATGTTGCTTTAAGTTTTTCGTGTCTCAAAAAAAATATGTTCCTCAGCATCTATGATGAGTTCATAAAAATAAAATGGGGATTCGAAGACAGAATCTTTCCGATTAAATGCTCTTGCTACGCCATAATTCACCTTCTTGCAACAAAACTCTCGAATTAGATATCATTAACTGCAAGAATCACACGAGGTCAAGGTTTTCATTAAATTAATTAGGTTAACCGTAACTATGTTGGAAAAGCACTACTCATTGTAAGCCTCAAATTACTAGATTAAATCAAATAATCGAGTCTTGTTATTTGAGAACTTAGAATCTAGTACCTAACTTATACGCATAGCTTTTGGTTACAGTGCCGTTTTAAGATTACTCCCTAGAGTAATTCAATATAATGACACTCATTTTCTAGTAGGGATTCAAGTTCAAATCCGGATGAAAAATTATTTTTCCTTTATTCAATATATCTCATGACCATCAAATCGCCTTCTCATATCCTACGAAATTCTAACAATTTTTCGGCTGAACAGGTGAGAGTTCAAGCCATGTTTCGGCTAAGTTCGACTAAGGGGTGAAATTTCCATTTAGGGTAAAGAATTAGATGGGAGTTTTCATGTACTGAAGGAACAGGAGAGGGCGTAGGTTACAATTCTTTTCACTTTCCCTCGCTAAATACCTTGTGGTGAATCTGATGGTCGGTTGTGGAAGGAGGAGGATGAAGAAGGTGGGTAAGATATCCTGTTTTGAAATTTGAGTGTGTGAAGTACATTCACGACTTATTCATTATCTGCTTCGTTGTTCCAAGAATCATATTTCAAGAGAAGAGACTTCATATTACATTTTCAATTTGGGAATTTCCCATTGCTGTTTTTCTTTGAAGGTTTCTAATCGGAACAGTCAAGAGTGTCTATTCTATTCGGGCAGCTTGCTCTAGAACAAGACCCGAAGGCATAGGAAATGTTCTCCACCATATGCCTAAAAAGGCTGCTCCTACTCGGATATGTCATCCTCCCATTGGTAATCATCAGACTCCTGGAAATCCACGGCTGGTTCCTGCACGGAAAAATCGCCCATTCCTCCTCCGTCGTCGATCCCAAGACGCTGAGCGCTAGTGAGCTGAAGGCCCTGGTGGGCACCCGCGGATTAGATGGCGCAGGCGCTGTAGAGAAGCAAGACTTGATGCAGCTGTTGGAGAGCACTGGTGAGTTTGGGGCATTCGCATCGTGAATCTGGGCCCAGCATTGATGACAGTAATTGAGGTTCAAGGTATCTTAAGCAACTTCCGAGTTCCAGTCATGATCGTCGTTAATGTGAAGCTTGATGGAGAAGCAGCAACGGAAAGATATTTGCATTTGTAATAATTATTTTCTTTTACCGACACTTAACTGCAGTTTCCCATAATGGTAATCCACACGACTTTCAAACGAGTCACCATAACGCATAGGATACAGCTTGAAACCGTGATATAATGCGCAAAGGTTTTGTTTCATCTGCGTCCTTCGCAGGAAAGCCGACCAACGGGGAGCTCCAGGAAGCAATCGGCTGCCACGACCCCAAGAACGACGTCTTCTCGTTCTCATTCGAATTGCATACCTCAATGATGTCCATGACGCAGACGATGTCTGGCTCGTTCGGGTGTTGTCAGTAGATAATGAAAACTCTGCCTCGATGGACAATGACTCTTGGAATTCGATCGTCGAGAGGGTTTCTGCCAAGCCCCAAGCTCAGCCGTAGCAGCTAACGACCGTAATAGGGCACATTCGCACAAACGCAGGATTACAAAGTCAAATAAAGAACGAAAGGGGAGAATGTTAATTCCACTAGAGAAGGTCCGATAACCAGAGAAAAAATTGGCGGAAGCCATGTATCATCTTTGCATCGGGTAATAGCCGAACCGCCGATCGTTGTATGAGAATTTTCAGTCCATATATAAATCCAAATGTGAGTTCACTTCTCGCGCTCTAATGGGATTTCATTTTCCCTCTTGACTTTCCTGCAGCGATTCCCAATATGCTATTGACCTAAGATAAAAATGGAAGACGATGTCAGACAGCTGTTGGGATTGCATGTGAGCCTTAAACATTGAATATTATTCACATCAAGGGGGCCAAATTCATGGTAAAGGCTGGAATGCATTCCTTGGCCATCCAGGATTGTAAAAAAAAATGAGACGTGGAATTTCAGGTTGAAGAAAGGGAAAGCCTCTGAAATTCTTTTCGCATAATCTAATATAAAAAAACGATCGTGATCGACTGACACTAATTCTAACCATGTTCTAGAGAAGTTATAAATCTAAAACTTGGTACACATGTACATTTTGAAATGCAGAATTCAGAAAAAATACAGCTTCGGAGGTACATGCCCTGAGGGTACACATTTTGGGGGGAGAAATGTTGAAGATCTCCATTTTGACGGATTAGGATGACATCGAGAGGCTTAACTGGATGTCTCGGGTTCCGTGGTGTAGTGGCAGCACACCAGCCACCATCAGAAGGCCCGGGTTCAATTCCAGGCCGTTCCTTGGCTTTCTTTCGGCCTCTTATGCCTTCCGTTACTCATTCCCCCTCCATAACAATATTTTTGCTCTAGTAAAACGGAGAGAAATGGAAAGCTGAAACTTGGCATCCAGATGCCTACCAAGACGATGAGTTAAAAAAAAAAGAAAATTGTATAACCATGCCCTGTGGGGGCATATTTTTAGGGGCCGACGCCTTTCAAGTAATGCTTTTTTTGACCCTGCGTATTGAGCAGGTATGGCAAGATAAAACTTGGTAAATAACTACATATTGGGATCCTGCATGCAGAAAAATTCTGACTGTGGAAGTACATGCCCCCGGGGCACAAATTTCAAAGGGAGATGTTTTCAAATAATTTTTTTGCATCAGTTAAACTGATCAACATGGAAAGCTGAAGCTTTGCATGAATTTGACCACTGAGACAAGGAGTTAAAGAAAAATGTGGGAGAATGGAAATGGAAAGGTGAAACTTGCCACACGTATGAGTAACATAATATTATTGAGTTTAGGGTGCATTCAGTTTTCATTCACCCCACCCGTTTCATTCACAGTTTCATTCACCCGTTTCATTCACAGTTTCATTCACCCCACCCGACCCACCCAATTGCTTTGCCCTCCGGGCAAAGCAATTGGGTGGGTCGGGTGGGGTGGGTCGGCTTTTCCAAACACGTTTTTTCACCAGCGAAAAGGGCAAACGTATGAGGTTGAAACTTTGTGGGCATCTTGTTCTCTAAGGATTGTTTTCTGCAAAAAAAATATGGTACTTTTCGGATAAAACGCCTCAGGGCTCAAATATTGCAAAAGGCATATTTTCTAGAATTTTCTGATCTAGCAAAATAGAGGGCGCTAGGAAGTTTAAACTTCGCAAAGAAGAACCTGTTGGATAGCTGAGTAAAGAAAAAATTACACTTCATTATACCTAGGTTTATCGTGATCGTGATCGTGATCGTGAGTTGCTGACTGACATAAGTCGCATGCTGAGTTGAAAAATTCTGCTTTTGTGATACATGCCATATGGGCACACCTTTTCTGGAACATATTTTCAAATACTTCTCTTTGCTTCAATGAAACAGAGACACATGGAAACTGAAACTTGGCAAGAACGTGACTACTGAAGCACTGAGCTCAAGAAAAATTTCAAATTTCCAATATGTTGGAATTTCGGAGAGGCTTTCAAAATGTATTCCCCACCCTTGCAAAAAGGGACGCATGGAAATATTTCAAGTCATTAACACTAGCAATAATTGAAGTAATGATATTGATAAAAATGAAGTCTTTCATGTCCATATATCACGTATTTCAATGGGGACCCACTTTAAAAATCTGTTTGCAATTTTGCAAAGAATAAATGAATTAATCACTATCCGAGGTAATGGAGCGCCGAAGGCGCGCCCACAGCGAATTTGTTTGTCCTTCGGGCTAGTTTCGTATATAAGGGTTGGGCCAAAAACTATAATTCTTGGTGAGTTGTCATGCATTGTGAGGATGCTGTGTGAAATATCTTCTGTAAAAATATTTCTAACAATTTCTTCCAAATATTAATTCGACAAAGCCTCATATCGCGGAAACTCTCGTTTTCCTTGAGACCATGATTCAACTCTTTGGGAAGTTCAACGCGTTTCATCGCATAGATACGTTTTTATTATCAAATAAATTCTTTGAAAAGAAGAATGAGAAATCACCGCAGCAGACACGATGGATTACCATAAACTCATTTCGAACGCAGGCTCTCTACAAGAATATTCAATGGGAACTGAGGCAGCACTTGCACGACATCCGATCGCTGAAGGAACTGGAATCGGAGTGGCTGAATACCTCAAGTCAAGCGGACGGGAAGCCCCTGCGTGTGGTGTTCTTCACGGATGCCCAGGCGGTTCCTCTGTCCCTGGCGGTTTTGAGTGTCAGACACGCAAAAGGAATTCAGGTTGGAGTCTTCTCGTCATCCGAAGAGACGGAGAAGGAAGAAGTGTCTCGTATGTACCAGGGTGTTGGGTTCCCATCATATGTAGTTGTCACCCGAAATGGCTATTATGTGTATGGTTCTAATAGGGGAGAGTCCCTCACATTGACCCATTTTGAAATGCTACTTTGGTCGTTTCAGCTTGGAACGCCTCAGATTTTTCTATCGATTGCAATATTGTTCAATTTTTTTGAAGTCTTGAATTTTCTCTCGTTGGATGACAAAGCCCCAGCCTTGAAATGCTTAATTCGAGGAAACCATTTTTTCTTTTCGTGTTGGTTCCTACAATGGCGATTCCACATATTCCACTCTCTTTATTTCGTATCAGACTTTTTAGAGAAAGCAATTCTCTACCTGGCAACGACATGGACGGCAAGCGTGATCCGCGACGACATCATCTGGATGCTGGACCGTCAAGGATCCATTCTTCTCCTGTGGGCGCTCTACAGCGTTTTCGTCTTGAAAGCTTTTTCGTCGTTGAGGGTTCCCGATCCCTCATCTCAAGCGGAGGAGGAACGGAGAAGAATCATGACGAATCCCGAGCCTTTCTTAACGAATGAAGTGGGAAATATTCTTTTTCCTCGCAATCAGATTAGGAATCGACCCAGCAGCTCTTCCAGGCCTTTTGGCTCTCGCCAGGAAGTTCCGCGTCCCATTTCATTCAGAGAGATACCCCACTTGCCCCAGGAAATATGGACATTGCAGAGCCTATTGGAACACGAGGAACGCTTGCAACACGCGGAACGCTTGCGACACTTCCTACGCTTGACTAATTTGAATTCCATTGATGAGCTCCAAGTGAGGAATTTCGGCAAAATTCCTGATGATTCTTTGAGTTGTGGATGCGCCATATGTTTGCAACGTTTTGAAAGGGGAAATTTATTGTGTGGACTTCCCTGCACTCACAGTTATCATCGGGATTGCATTCTCAAGTGGCTGCAAGTGAATCCTAATTGTCCCGTGTGCCGATGGCCAGAGAGTGAGTCTCATGATGAAGGAATTCGAAGAACTTGACTCCCCAAATTCTAGTCCATGTCTCCGCAAAGAATTTATGAAATATGTCATCTTGAATGAATCTTTGGAATTCTTAATTCCGATCTTAATGTTGTATGATGATATTATTCGATATAATTAAAACAGGTTTGACATCAACTCCTTCCCGTAAATTGGGATGCAATCGCTTTTTATTTTCATACCATGCTTGCCTTTTTCCGTGCCTTTTTCTGATTTTCTTCAGCATCAGAAAAAGGTAATTTTAACTAATTCATGGAGCCACATCTGCAAATTTCGGAATTTTGGAAGTTCGTTCCCTCGATCAGATAAAAGACTAGGTGAAGGAAGAGGGATTCCTAAGAAATGCTTTCTGTCGGAGTGAGCCATGAGGGGAAAGAAGCATAAACTTGAGATTTTGGAATCAATCTTGCCGTTTTTGAGATGTTGAGATCAAGTACTAGATAGTACTTGGTGCGGTACTCATGAGAACTATTATAAGAAGCAGATCAATCAGTGGTTAACAATGATATGAGGTTCATATGTATGGGACTACGCGTTTAGGAATCCGATAGCGTTTTCTTCCAGCCAGTCTAAATCAGAGTACTGCGCCCCCTTAATTGCGCGCTTCGCCTCACCAGAAACGGTCATTATTTTTTTACGTGGCGTGCTTATGACGTCACGATACCCTTAAAAGAACAGTGGAGTTATGGTGAGATTGGATAACGGATTGGCCATGCCTTTGTCCCCACGTGACGTCATGAATCGCGGGGGAGAGATTCCGATACCCTGGTGATTGGTTTCCTCGACAGTCTATTCTAGGAAGGAAAAACTGCAGCAAACGATTCGGAACAAAAATCGGATGGATTAATTAAGGAATGGATGCAAGATTCTACTCTCACTCAAATTGGACGAAAATGTACAAAACTACAAGCCAACTCCTTCGATGCTGTCTATTGAAATGGAAAGAATTGAAGTTGCCATTGTCATGGAATCCTCCTCTCCCTACGACGATTCACTGGTGGAAGGAATTCTTCCCTCAGCACGGGTCACAAAGAAACGACTCATCCACCGAGTGCATCAAGATGTATCATCGTGACTCAATCTCGATAGGTCCATCCAATCGGAGGGTCCATGTGATGCAAACCGTGCTTCCTGGGAAAGGTCCTTGTATCTTATCTAATTGCTGCGCCGTATCCGTGAACCATTAATGCCAGATAGCGTCATGAAATTCCGAACCATACTCGTAAAACGAACAATTTTCGTTTAATTTTCGTTTCGGGCTGCTTAGAAAGCGAGGTTTCGGGAGATGCGTGCGCAGTGCCCGCTAGCAAATTTGTCGTCTGACCGTTGTTGTTTCCGTCTGAATTTGCCCCAGTTGAAGACAGGTTGGTTTTCGTTTTCTCCGAGATAAGAAAGAAACACCCCCTTATCATACATTCAGTGGAGAGAGGAAGATAGTGGATGTGGAGGATACGAAGTGGAAATGCGAGGGCCGGTGGCATAGAAAAGGATCTTTCTATTCAGTCCTGATCTGCGAAGAGGAATGATCCCGTGAGGATGTCATCTCTCCCTCCGCAGGACCTGCCTCGTCTGTCGCTCTGTCACTGGGTTTGTATCGTACATCCTTACCGAACGATACGATCGGTTTTGCTTTTGGTCTGACTCGAAGTCCCAACATCGAACTGGTGCGTGCTCGAGTTCTTCCATTTCGTTTTCATGGGACTTTTGTCCACTGGGGATTTCGAGGCAAGTAGATTCGCAGACGCTTACAACCTTGATGCTAACCAAAATGACCATGCATATAGTGCCTTTTCAACAAATTACTCATTTGGGATTGGACCTATCCGGATACTACCGAAGTCAATTTGTAGATTAGGAGGCTGTCCATTCAATGAGAGGGTTGTCATCCTCAAAATAACTTTCGAATTGCTAATGACCAACTGCATCAGTTCGTGAGGACCAACTGTTAAGTGGATTGATGGCGACTCGGTTTACCTGAAGTGCAAACAAACTCACTATGGACGCGCTTTCGGCGCTCTATGCTCTGAGGCAATGTGTAATACATTTTAAGCATTCCCTTTTTATTCTCACTTCCATGGATGTGGTTCAACTCCTTGAGGCATGAACATAATTCATTGAGGCCTCAAGTTACTTTTGGTCATGAGAAATCAAATTTCCCACTATCAATAATTGCCCGCATCAACATAAATAAAAAATTTTTGTCAAAACACGTACCTCTCGGAAATTGTGCCTTGAGGGCATGAACCTGAAAAGAATAATACCTTGGAATCAGAAGGTGGCGAACTTTTGAGTGCTGAATTTTGCCTTTTCAGAGAAATCATAACCATCCCAAAAGATGTGCCCCGAAAGCATCAACCTCAAAATAGTGTTTCTCACGAAATCAATTCCCCATAAACAACTTTATTGGCGAAACCCTTTTTTCATTTCTGCTCGGCTTTCTGCGCAAAAATGTATTTTGGGTAAACGTACCAAACAAATATTTTTGACACTGAACGTATAAACATCTATATCGAGTTTTCCGGAACTAATAATCGCACAAGCGAAATCTGTGCTATGTTTCATTTTCTAATTCTCCGCGATTCCCTTAATTATAAGAGGTTTTGCAAAACGTCTTTCCCAAAAAAAGTTGCCCACGGCAGATATATTTGAGAAGTAGACATTTTACTGAAATCAGTTTATCAGTGGACATGAACATGCCTATTTTCAGGTTTCCTCATCTCTTCGTTTCACTAAAGCTAAAATATTTGCTTAAATTATCCTTCTCTAAAATATATACCCCAAGAGCATGTACCTCCAAAATGGAATTCATTCTGAGCTTAGCACCCTAATAGCTCCTTATGTACCAAGTTTCAGGTTTCTACCTCATCTAGAACATGGCTAGAATAACCGTCAGTCACTCACTCAAGTCACTCAGTCAGTTACAATCGCCTGCATACACTGTACGGTATTAAAAGTTGTTCTATAGTTAGTTATACGATTTATCCTTCGCCTAAGTTAAACCCTGAACCCTTCAGGCAAACATTGCAGAGCCTAGGGATTCCCACCAGTGGGATTCCTAGGGATTCCCACCACATTTGATACCTTCATAATGTTTCTCTTAAATAGGTTTTTAAAACAGAATTCCGAAGACTGGGGACTGTCCTTAATCATTCTACTTGAACGACTGTTTCGGTTGGGGTATGTTACCTTCTCGTTTCTGATATTGAGAATCATTCGAACATAACGACTGGTACAAACACCGAACAGATCCCGCTGTTCTTGGGTAATCGGCGTGGAGTTCCAAGAAACTTTTAGATTTGAGGCATTCCAGGTTTTTCGAGAAAAAATGTTGTACTTAGATGGCGGATGTTCGGGTTCTGTCTCGTTTGGTCCCGAAAGTCCTCTATGGTTACAATGGAGAAAAGCTGCTCACTTCCAGACATTTTTCAGCGTTAGAGTCTAAAATGCCAGGCTTTGACTATTTCATTATGATATTGTTCGATGTGTACCTCTTCTCGGACCTACTGATGTCATATGTTGCTTCAAGTTTTTCGTGTCTCAAAAAAAATATGTTCCTCAGCATCTATGCATTACATGAGCTCATAAAAATGCAATGGGGATTCGAAGACAGAATCTTTCCGATTAAATGCTCTTGCTACGCCATAATTCACCTTTTTGCACCAAAACTCTCGAATTAGATATCATTAACTGCAAGAATCACACGAGGTCAAGGTTTTCATTAAATTAATTAGGTTAACCGTAACTATGTTGGAAAAGCACTACTCACTGTAAGCCTCAAATTACTAGATTAAATCAAATAATCGAGTCTTGTTATTTGAGAACTTAGAATCTAGTACCTAACTTATACGCATAGCTTTTGGTTACAGTGCCGTTTTAAGATTACTCCCTAGAGTAATTCCCTATAATGAAACTCATTTTCTAGTAGGGATTCAAGTTCAAATCAGAATAAAAAATTATTTTTCCGTTATTCAATATATCTCATGACCATCAAATCGTCTTCTCATATCCTGCGAAATTCTAACAATTTTTGGCTGAACAGTTAAGAGTTCAAGTCATGTTTCGGGTAAGTTCGACTAAGGGGTGAAATTTCCATTTAGGGTAAAGAATTAGATGGGAGTTTTCATGTACTGAAGGTACAAGGGAAGGCGTAGGTTACAATTCTTTTCAATTTCCCTCGCTAAATACCTTGTGGTGAATCTGATGGTCGGTTGTGGAAGGAGGAGGATGAAGAAGGTGGGTAACATATCCTGTTTCGAAATTTGATTGTGTGAAGTTCATTCACGACTTATGCATTATCTGCTTCGTTGTTCCAAGAATCATATTTCTAATTGTCTTCAAGAGAAAAGACTTCATATTAAATTTTCAATTTGGGAATTTCCCCTTGCTGTTTTTCTTTGAAGGTTTCTAATCGGAACAGTGAAGAGTGTTTATTCCATTCGGGCAGCTTGCTCTAGAACAAGACCCGAAGGCCAAGGAAATGTTCTCCACCATATGCCAAAAAAGGCTGCTCCTACTCGGATATGTCATTCTCCCATTGGTAATCATCAGACTCCTGGAAATCCAAGGCTGGTTCCTGCACGGAAAATTTGCCCATTCCTCCTCCGTCGTCGATACCAAGACTCTGAGCGCTCGTGAGCTGAAGACCCTGGTGGACAGACGCGGATTGGATGGCGCAGGCGCTGTAGAGAAGCAAGATTTGATGCAGCTGTTGGAGAGCACTGGTGAGTTTGGGGCAGTCGCATCGTGAATCTAGGACCTGCATTGATGACAGTAATTGAGGTTCAACGGATCTTAAACAACTTCCGAGTTCCAGTCATGATCTTCGTTAATATGATGCTTGATGGAGAAGCAGCAACGGAAAGAGATTTGCATTTTGAATAATAAATTTCGTCTCATCTGCGTCTTTCGCAGGAAAGCCGACCAACGGGGAGCTCCAGGAAGCAATCGGCTGCCACGACCCCAAGAACGACGTCTTCTCGTTCTCATTCGAATTGCATACCTCAATGATGTCCATGACGCAGACGATGTCTGACGGTTCGGGGTTCGAGTCGGCATCGTCGATTGCTGGCATTATCCCGTGTAAGCGTGTTTGCGTCCTAATGTTTCAGTTTATTTCTTGCTTTCCCCTCTTACAATTAAGGTGATCTCTTCCAGGCTATGCCAGAGAAGAAATTGGCGGAAGCCATGTATCATCTTTGCATCGGGTCATAGCCGAACCGCCGATCGTTGTATGAGAATTTTCAGTCCATATGTGAATCCAAATGTGAGTTCACTTCTCGCGCTCTAATTGGATTTCATTTTCCCTCTTGACTTTCCTGCAGCGATTCCCAATATGCTATTGACCTAAGATAAAAATGGAAGACGATGTCAGACAGCTGTTGGGATTGCATGCGAGCCTTAAACATTGAACATTATTCACATCAAGGGGGATAAATTCATGGAAAAGACTGGAATGCATTCCTAGGCCATCGAGGTTTGTAAAAAATTGAGATGTGGACGTTGATTTTGAAGGAAGGGAATGCCTCTGAAAATGTTTTCGCATTACCTAATACTAGCATTTCTAATTATTTTTATCTAATACTATATACGTTGTATAATACTGTTTGCCCGAAGGGCAAATAAACTCGCTATGGTCGCGCCTTATGCGCTCCATTACCTTGGTTAGTGATTAATTCATTTATTTGTTGCGAAATGGGAAACATGTATTTTAAGTACGTCCCTATTGAAATGGGTGACATATGTGGACGAAAGTATTCATTTTTTTTAAATCAAAATCATTACTTCTATGACTTCAAGTGTGCCTAACTTGAAATCTTTTCATGTGTCCCTTTTTTTCAGGTTGGAGAATACATTTTGAAATACTTCCTTCCTATAATCCACGCTAAGGGGACATGTTTCAAATGTAGGATCTTTCCTGTACCCAGCAATGAAACAGGTACTTCCGAGGGTATTTTAAATTTTCTGTCTTTGTTTCGTAGGATCAAAAAGAAATTCAGGAAATGGGACTGAAAGAAAGTGCCCAGATGGGTTTTAACGAAAAATATTTTTCTTCTGAAATGTTGACTCAGAGAATTCCATGCCACCCAGCTTCAGCCTTATACGTTTCCTTTTTTTGTTGCCGGAAAAAAATATATATTTGGAAAAGCGACACACTCAAAAGCTGTGCTATGAGGACACGCGCGCCAAAAGTTGAATTTTTGTTTAAATCAACATCACGTCCGTTGTGCGTGCGCCGGCTGCTACTTTTATATTTCTGCCCGATTCACTGGGATATGGAAAATTCTGTGAAAACGTTACATACCCAAGAAATATGCCCCCCAAAATATTTGGGAAATTTGACATTTGACATTTGAGTTCAATGCGTCAGCAGTCACGTCCCCAGCTTTCCATGTGTCTCCGTTTCAATGAAATAAAGAAAACAATTTGAAAATATGTACCGCGAAAAGTTGTGCCCCTATGGCATGTATCACCAAAGAAAATTTTTCCTGAACTCAGCATGCGAAGAGGTACTTAGGTCAGTCAGATACTCACGATTCTCTATATATAATAAAAGTATAATGTTTTCTTCACTCAGGTTCTTCTTTGCAAAGTTTACATTTTCTAGCGCACTCTGTTTTGCTGGATCGAGAAAATGCGCCTTTTGCAATATATGTGCCCTCAGGCGTTCTAACCGAAAAATGCTTTTTTTTTTTACCGAAATCAATCATCAGAGAACTACATGCCCACAAAATTTCAACCTTATACGTTTGTCTTTTTCGCTGGTCAAAAACCATGTTTGGAAAAGCCGACGCATCCAAAAGCTATGCCAGGAGGGGATGCACCATGAAAACTGAATACTCCCTCAATTCAACAATAATAATATCATATCACTTATATGTGCCAAGTTTTACCTATCCATTTCTGTCCATTTCGCCGCGACGTTTTTTTTTCAAACATCGCCCCTTCGACTTTGAATTTAGTGCCCCCGGGGCATTTACTTTCAAATTCTGAATTTTTCTATATGCAGCATCCCAATAGGTAGTCATGTACCAAGTTTTATCCCTCCACACCAGCTCAATATGCCCGGAAAAATAAATTGCGTGAAAACGTGTGCCGCTAAAAATATGCCCCCACAGGGCATGGATCTTAAATTTTACATTTTTCTTAAACTCATCGTCTCGGTGGCCATGTCCATGCCAAGTTTCAGCTTTCCATGTCTCTTCGTTTTACTAAATCAAAAACGTTCTGATGCAGGGGGAATGAGTAACGCGACTTAGAAGGCATAAGAGGCCGATTGAACGCCAAGGAACGGCCGGGAATTGAACCCTTGTCTCCTGATTGCTGGTTTGGGGTGCTACCAAAAAGCCACCGAACCCAGCACATCCTGTTGATTCTCTTAATGCCCTCCTCAAATGTCGTTTTTCGAGTAATTTTTTTTTGTCCTGGCGTATTGAGCTGGTGTGGAAAGATAAAACTTGGTACATGACTACCTGTTGGGATGCTACATACAGAAAATTTCAGACTTTGGAAGTACATGCCCCAGGAGCACAAATTTCAAAAGGGAGATGTTTTCAAATAATTTTTTTGCATCAGTTAAACTGATGAACATGGAAACCTGAAACTTTGCATGAATGTGACTACTGAGACAAGGAGTTAAAGAAAAATGTGGGAAAATGGAAATGGAAAGATGAAACTTGCCACATGTATAAGTAACATGATAGTATTGAGTTCTGGGAGTATCCAGTTTTCATGGTGCATCCCCTCCGGGCATAGCTTTTGCGTTGGTCGGCATTTCCAAACATGTTTTTTCATCAGCGAAAAGGGCAAACTTATGAGGTTGAAATTTTGTGGGCATGTTGTTCTCGGAAAATTGTTTTCTGCAAAAAAAAAAATTATTTTCGACTAAAACGCCTCAGGGCACAAATATTGCAAAAGGCTTATTTTCTAGAATTTTCTGATCTAGCAAAATAGAGGTCGCTAGAAAGTTTAAACTTCGCAAAGAAGAACCTGATGGATAGCTGAGTAAAGAAAAATGTCTACTTCATTATACCTAGGTATATCGTGATCGTGATCGTGATCGTGATCGTGATCGTGAGTTGCTAACTGACATAGGTTGCATGCTGAGTTCAGGAAAAATTCGGCTTTGGTGATACATGCCATATGGGCACACCTTTTCTGGAACATATTTTCAAATACTTCTCTTTGCTTCAATGAAACGGAGACACATGGAAAACTGAAACTTGGCAAGAACGTGACTACTGAAGCACTGAGCTCAGGAAAAATGTCGATTTTCCAAAGTATTGGAATTTTGGGGGGATTTCAACATAAATTCTCCACCCTTACACAAAGGGACGCATGAAAATATTTTAGGTTTGGCACACTAGAAATAATAGAAGTAATGATTTTGATAAAAATGAAGTCTATCATCCCCATATGTCACGTATTTCAATGGGGACGCAATTAAAAACTTGTTTGCCATTTTGCAAAGAATAAATGAATTAATCACTATTCAAGGTAATGGAGCGCCGAAGGCGCGCCCATAGCTAATTTGTTTGCCGTTCGAGTTAGTTTCGTATGTACGGGGTGGGCCAAAAACTATAATTGTTGGTGAGTTGACATGCATTGTGAGGATGCTGTGTGAAATATCTTCTGTAAAAAATGTTGATGCGTTTTAAGAAAGATGTTACTGAAAATTTCTAACAATTTCTTCCAAATATTAATTCAACAAAGCCTTATATCTCGGAAACTCTCGTTTTCCTTGAGACCATGATTCAACTCTTTGGGGAGTTCAATGCGTTTCATCGCATAGATACATTATTATTATGTAATAAATGCTTTGGAAGGAAGAATGAGAAAGCACCGCAGCAGACACGATGGATTATCATAAACTCATTTCGAACGCAGGCTCTCTACAGGAATATTCGATGGGAACTGATGCAGCACTTGCACGACATCCGATCGCTTAAGAAACTGGAATCGGAGTGGCTGAATACCTCAAGTCAAGCGGACGGGAAGCCCCTGCGTGTGGTGTTCTTCACGGATGCCCAGGCGGTTCCGCTGTCCCTGGCCGTTTTGAGTGTCAGACTAGGAAGAGGAATTCAGGTTGGAGTCTTCTCGTCATCCAAAGAGACGGAGAAGGAAGAAGTGTCTCGTATGTACCCGGGTGTTCGGTTCCCATCATATGTAGTTGTCACCCGAAATGGCTACTATGTGTATGGTTCTAATAGGGGAGAGTCCCTCACATTGACCCATTTTGAAATGCTACTTTGGTCGTTTCAGCTTGGAACGCCTCAGATTTTTCTATCGATTGCAATATTGTTCAATTTTGTTCAGATCTTGAATTTTCTCTCGTTGGACAACAAAGCCCCAGCCGTGAAATGTTTATTGCACGGAAACCTGTTTTTCGTTTCGTGTTGGGTCCTAGGATCGCGATTCCACATATTCCACCCACTTTATTTCGTATCAGACTTTGTAGAGAAAGCAATTCTCTACCTGGCAACGACATGGACGGCAAGCGTGATCCGCGACGACATCATCTGGATGCTGGACCGTCAAGGATCCATTCTTCTCCTGTGGGCGCTCTACAGCCTTTTCGTCTTGAAAGCTTTTTCGTCGTTGAGGGTTCCCGATCCCTCATCTCAAGCGGAGGAGGAACGTAGAAGAATCAGGACGAATCCAAATCCTGTCTCCACGAATGAA